CCTGTAGGAGAAGAAAAACGATAAAGAAAACTGATAATCAAGAAAATTAAAAATATATATCGTACTTAAGAGAAATAACACTTCCGAATAATATCTGGCTAAACAAATACAGATTGAATAGCTTATCTGGTTCCAGTAATTCATAAGTCAAAGTCTTTTTTCTTTTTTTTGTGGTAAGAAATTAATAGCCAATAGGTTATGAGCTTATGATCTAGGCATCTGCATGATCTAAAATAATATCTGAGATGAAATCTACATGATATTAAATATATGCATCCCTACAATAACAATAATAGGTAAGCAATAAAAACTGAGGCTTATAATCTCTCATTCACCCAGGAAGTACGTGGACAAGATGTATACGCATTAAAAGATCGGCTAATAAATTAACACAGCTTAAAACCCAAGGTGTCAGATAAAGAAGCAAAAAGCATGTTTTCAGTTAAGAGGTATGGCTTACCTTCCCCAGGAGAGAATCTTCACTGGCCTCCAATTTATCAAGGACAGCCTTGGGGAGTTTTGTCTGTCTCTTCCTCCTGTTCCCCTTTATTTGTTGATTCCTCTAATTCTTCTTCTTCCCTGGAAGATCCAGAGTCAGGATAATTTTTTTTTTTTGCACATCTGCAATGCCCTTTGCTGCATTTTTAGCAACTGCAACTGCCTCAATCCACAAAACCAGAGATCTATTACTGAAGCATAGCAATATATAGAATCAATCTACCATGGCTGCCAGTGAGACTGACAAATACAATCTACCATAGCAACTGCAACTCCTTTGTGCTCATGAAACAAAATTTTACGCAAGTTATTATTTTATTGGAAATTTCTTATTGAAGTCTTACCGTCCAAAAGTATTATGGAAATAGTTCCAACAAATACAGGATAAGAAACTGTGAAAGGCTGATTCTAATTCCAAAGCCAAAGAGCATAGACAATCTTGCATACAGACCATAATAAGCAAGATATTTATGGTCCAACCCTTCGATCTAATATACTCTCTTACGGTAAATTCCAATAAAAAAAGCTTTTAATGTTTAGTAAGGTAGGCAGAAGGATGGTCCATCATAAATGTGCCATTGTAGTACCTAAGTTCCCAAAAACTGCCACTTTAGGCCTTGCCATTAGCATTCCATCAATTATCTAGCACATGTGATGTCATATGGGATTTAAAACTTTCAAAATCTCAAAATTACTCTTCAAAAGAAGAAATTGTTTACTGTCTTCTTAGTTCTTTCTTGAGACTAAATTAGAACATTAGTGAACAAAGAGCCAAACCCACCACCAATCCACCTCCTCCCTAAGATGCCTCAATGTCATTGTGAAGAATTCCTTGAACCAACACTTAACAATCTTAGATAAATGAAGCGAGTCCCCTCGATATAGGTAGCATATAGAAGAGGCCAAGTCGTTGACGACCTACCAAGTACAAGGGTACTTTGTGCTCCTCAAGTCGTTGATGACCTACCAAGTACAAGGATACTTTGTGCTCCTCATCCGTTGGCAATGGAAGAGACCAATTTTTTTTGGTTTTGTAAATGTATTTAATTATTCATGATAATAAAGGGAAGTTTGGTAATTTTATTGTCCATTGTAACGTTCATTAATGGTATTGGACTAAAGTGGCAATTTTTGGGAGTTCAGGTATTAAAGTGGCTTGTTTTATAGTTCGAGTACTAAAGTAAGACTACCCTCAAAGTATAGGGTTCTAATTTGTAACTTACCCTTTTATTTTATTTTGCCCATTGATTTTACTTACTATTATGATGTTCTGATTACATGTATCATAAAAATTATTTGACTTTTGACACAAAAATGATTGGGGAACACCACATTTGGGCAATTTAATTTGATGTGCTACACCACATTTGCATCCAATTATGTGCATAAATAAGACTACTAGTCCAAGACTTTTTAAATGTTATTAAGGACAGGAAGTTTCTAGTCTCTTTTGTAAATAGGGAAGAAAATAGATTGGCCCATACCATTGCTGTAAATAGGTTAAATGAATCTGAATTGTATTTTCAGGAAGTTCCTGGGTGGTTCCTGAAAGACTTTTTCTCTTCTGAAATTTAAATGCTTTTTTATCAAAAAAATAAGACTAGGGTAGGGTTGCAAATGGATGATAGGTGATGATGCGCAATCCGGTCGGTCTTAGCTGTCAGCGATCTTGCCTCTGAACCGAGTGACAGGGAACCTGAAACGGAGGAGATGAGGAAGCTCCGGGGAGGACCCGGTGTAAAGGCTCCGAAGCTTGAGTTAGAATCCTTCAAAGGCAAGATAAACCAGATAGCGCAAAGTTTGCATACCTCCTCTTTGGGGGTGGAGCGCCTTTTATAACCACCTTGCGCACTCACTCCTAGACTCCTGTCAAGTCGAGAATGAGTATTTCCGTGCTTCTGCTAGTCTAGGCGTCATCGCCTCTGCTGGGGCAGAACCGTCACTGCTCCTTTTGTCGGAGCCGTCTCTGTAACTGGAGGCAGTGGTGACAGGTGACGGTGGCAGGTGGCCGTTGGAAATGCGGCCGTCAAGCGTCAGATCCCAAGTCAGTCAGATGCGCCGCC